CAGAACTACTTAAAGGTATAATTATTATACACCCTCTTATTATTCATAAACGCACTTTACTTTATTGGTCCCATCAAACCATCTGTGAGAATGATCTGTAAAGTGCTTTGGGTAAAGCTAGGGAAAAGAATTTCCTGCTATGTACAGTACAGTATGATGTGGTGCTGATGTAGATGTTTGTGTATTTGGTCTGAGGGATAAATGCTTCTGTTCGATGTAAATTTGGTGGTTGTGCTGAATCACACAGATTGCTATTTGGTCCAATGAGTATAGATCTCTATGGAAGCCACAGTCCACTGTCAGGAAGTGATGATTTGCCCGCCTTGGAGGTATAGGAGAGAATTATTTGTCAAATTCTTTGCATATTTACTGTATATAAAAATCTGGAGTTTTTTTTTTTTTATTACAAATGTCTTATCAGTAATTACTGCCGTCCTATTTACAACAAATGTTGAAGCATAGATTTTTGTCATCTCATGAGTTATTTAAGATTATAGTTCCACAACATACTGTAAGTTTTCTTATTAAAGAAATGCCTCATCACCCTTTTGCTCTTAGGGGGATCTGGTTCCGTGTCATTTGGGTTTGTATATGATGTAAACCTTCTGCATTCACAGATTTTATTATGGACTCTAGAGTTTTTTTGCAGGTACTGTAAATTTAATGCAGCCGAGATGAAGCTACAGTAGTGTGTTTCGTCAAGACTTCTTCATATTCAGATGCACCAGCTGAATGGATGCAGACATTACGGTCTGTAAAAGCTGAACCAAGGTTTTTGACATGGCTCATCACAGTAAAGTAGAAAGAGACTGCAGTGAACTCCCGTTCTGTTCTTTCTTTAAATATTGCATCTGTATATGCTGTAAGTCAACTCTTACTGATGAACTCATGGTCCTTAATGTTCTCATTGAGCCATAAAGCCATATCCATAATGTATATTTTAAGTCATTTTGGTTTCATTGCACTATTTTAGAGCAACACATCAAATCAATTAAAGATGCTCTACTATTTCACAGTATCAGCATTTATAGTCTCTAAAGTTTAGGGAAGAGTGCAATTTAAAAAAATCAAATTACTCTCTGACAGAGCAGGAAATATGAAGCTAGCATCCAGTCTTCTACTCAGTTCATCATCAAGCGATTATGTTATAATTAATTTTCTTGCATCGAGGATACACAAGGCTGCTCTTTTTGCAGGTTATTAAACTGACTGGTTTCAAATGAGTGGCCTTCCCAAATGATCGGTTTATCAACATAACAGACAAAGGCAGAGTAACAAGTACATGTACAAATGTGTGATGTTAAAATTAATTTGCATAGTGATATAAGGTTCCATAAATTCAGGTATGAAACGGGTATAGGTATGTGAATGAAAGAATGCAGGCCACATTATTTCTTCAGAATTCACACGCTACTGTGAGGACTCCATGTGTTTACAGGAAGGCCTGGTGTGTATGGTCTTAGATTATCTGTGAGAGTCAGTATATGTCTAGAATATCAATGACCTCTTTACACTTCTGATTGCTGTGCCCCGAGGAGCAGAGTGATAAAAGAAAATTGGGAAGGAAGTCAGAGGTGAGTTTCAGGGCTTTTCTCCCAGCATCTCTATCTAACATTTCCCAGCCTGTCTTCTCATTGCAAAGTCAGCCTGTGTGCTTACATAATGTAGACAGGAGCCAACCTGAATGTTATTGTTAGTACCAAGCATTCCTTATACTGGCATGATCATTAAATGTTTATTTCGTCTTTTATGTAAACTTTACTCTCTAAGTCATATTAGCTGAATGACAAATGAAAACTCCACAGTGCATATTGTAAATCAGTCTAACTTAGTTTGTGCATCAGTGACATTTTACAGGTTTAGAAGGGGTGCAGGGTCTGCTGCTGGAAAAAGGCCAAGAGCACCCGTCCTTCACCTCCCTATCCACCCCCACCCCACCCCCAGTGCCAGTGAATGCCTCCCTGAAGAGCAGACAGAGGAGCTGCCAAGTAAATGCTTGGCACAGCAAGGATAAACTCCATCACTAATGCCCCAAAGGAAGGGTTCAGATACCTAATGGGAATTAGGCAAAAGTACTGTACAGTAAGAAAGCAGGTTATGGGGATGGAATGGATAATTGAACTCATCAAATAAACAAATGCACAACAAGGGAACTGTCCAAACAAAAGTCATGTGAAGAAAGTGCAAACTAGGAAAAATGTGTATTTGAATATGTAGTTTATTAACTTTATTTATGCCACTTTGTGTGTGTGTGTGGCCTTGAAGTGGCCATCAACAGTCAGGAGTCAGCAGAGGTATCAAGGTAACAGCAGTGTGAGCAATAGAGGAGGGAAATTAACCATCACCTTTACCTCAGCATTTCTGTCGGTAAACTGTTCTCATTAGATCAGAGCCGTTTGCACTTTCGGGGCCACCAGAGATGCTTTACAGTAAGTCGCATCTTTTATACAAGGAGGTTAAAAATTACTCAAAGACACAAATAAAACAGAGGTGGCAGTAGGTTAAAACAGCATCATCTGCATAAATGGGTGTGACATTCAGATCTGTTTAAATGTTTATGGAGAAAGAATAAAAAAATAAAATAAGAATAGAAGAGCGGATGGTTTTCAATATAACAACTGATGTAGTTGTTGAGGGTTTATATATTTATTTGTGGAATGATGGTGAATAAAAAACACAAGTCTCCCAGGCCTGAAGCCCTTGTCTCACAATACACAATACTTTGTTTCAAACCTCTTCCAAGAAAACAAATAGAAAATGCAATAACCTCATCGAAATAGCAGAGGGTTTTCTTGTTTAAATCCTGTAAGGGGCGGTCATTACAAACTCAGTAATTAAAATGTTTAATCAAAAAAAGTAACCGTTTTAAAACCATTCTTATGAACTGCACAATATGATTTTTTGCAGATAAAACAAACATAAATGCAAAACTAAGCTGGCTGTAATACTGTATGCATATTTCCCAAAATGTCAAAAAATGTCTTTAAAACGACTTAACAGACACAAAAAAGAGAAAATTGGATATTAAGGGGTTTTAAGAATGCCCTGAATGCTGAATATACACTATGATCAAATAATCTAATCCTTGGTAAGGTTATCTTTTAGACTGCTCTATTGGAATGGATGGTTGACTGATAATGTGCTGGGCTAATATGGCGTCTCACTGCTGAGGGATACATTTGCATCGATTGGAACATTTGCCTCCCTTAGGACTGATATTAAGCAAGCGTATTTAATCTACTAATCCTTAAAGTTTTGTCACTGAAAAATAGCTAGTTTGCTTCTTGAGGTGCCACAGGGCAGAGGGGATTTAAAAATTTAATGCTAGTGTTGTGTCTAGATAATTACAGAGGGCGGTTGACCATGAGATTCAACCCACCTTGTTATTCAGTGACATTTGAGTTATTGGAATCGCTCACAGACTCATCCTTTGAAAAGGCCAGTCTCAGTGGATTGTGTGCCTGTGAGTTTATGTGTTTGAATAGTTGTGCATGTGTGTGAACTTATATTCTTGTGACAGCCAGTTTGAGTTTAGGGAGCGGGGGCATTTTTCACAAGATGAGGTCATTTTGGCTATTTTGTCCTCTATCAGGGGGACAGGGTGTGGTCAGGGATTTAATTGAGTTTCTAAGGATAGGTAAGGACACAGGATCACTTGTCATTTTCAAACAAACAAAACTCACTGGGTGACTTTAGGGTGAGTAACCTGCTGTGTGCAGACATTTTCCTTTTGTGCTCATGTACAGTATGTCCATAATCATAATAAGATAATGCGTGTGAGCTGATCCAATTGCTATTCCAGTGAACTGCACATGTCAGAGGAATAGGATCCCTGTTGACTCAATTAGGGTTGCATATTGTTCTGCAAAGCATTGAATAATGTGGCGACAGACACTGACACTGTGTTAGTCTGAATATAAATGACTATGTACTCACAGAAATGATTCTTCTTCTAATGCAGGCTTGATCAAAATGTTTCATTAAAGCACTGAAAAAGCCAGTCTGAGCTGACAGTATTAGCGTAAAAATGAGAGGACTGTGCAGTCCTCTGAAATGTGCTTACTGTACAGTACATGCTGCACCTGCGTCTCTTCAGTGCAGACACACATTGGTCTGAGAGTTTTTCCACTGGAGCCCTTTTGTTTTGCTTCGCCTTGATGAGTAAACATTCATGGAGAGATGATTACCAGACTCGGTAGACACACAAACTCCCAGGCAAGAATGCAAACCGAAAAAATCAAGGATGTAGATATAGTATACTGTCGCTTAGACTTTGCCAGGGGAAGACATACAGCAACATGTTCATTTTTATTGCTTTGAGTGTAACTTTCTGACTGGCTAAAGAAATAGCATCAAGTTTGCTAGAGCTCCTGGTCTCCATTAATATATTCGATGTCTGCTCTTATACTGTGTAGTATTTCTGGGAAAACCAAGACCTGGAATCCAAATAAGACCATGTCCAAATATTTTCAGCCTATCTGGTTGTCTACCATACGTCTTGGTTCTGTGTGTCAACATATCATGTACCTGACTGGATACTTAGTATCGCCCCTGATAACTTAATGGGAGAGAATATGTTTCCAAGTTAGCAGCCTATGTAAACATTGAACACTGAGTGACAATATATTTTAAAAGTTGCTTCACAGGTATCAAAACAGTTAGAAAATTCTTATCTTCTGTCTATGCATCTCTCAAGCGGCCGCACAATGTTTTACAGCAGCAACAAGACAGTTAAAATAAGACATCTATTTATTTGTATTAGTTGTAAAAACAAATGAAGAAAATATTTTGGAGTTAGTTTCTATAACATTACACTCTTTTAAAGAGATTTTTGATTGCATCTATCACTGTTTCCACTGCAGTAGCCATCTGTTTTTAGCAAAATAGCCTTTAAAACCTACATGCTTACTAGCAAATGCAGACACAGGCAGTTAGCAACTTGCAGGTTGGAGAGGAACAGGAAAAAACAAAAAAAAAAAAACAAAGAGAAGGACTAATAGGGACTAAGGAATAAGGACTAACTTAGTCATTAGGTGGTGAGAAACACAGCTCCAAATGAATGATATAATTGTTATGTGATAATAGTAATACTGAGATGGCTGGGTTGTTTCTAGTGCTGCCAAGTGGCCAAAAAAAATCTGTTCAGTAATTGCTGGTTTAATTAAACACATAGAGACCCAGTGTATGTTTATGTTTCTTCTTGGCTACGCCCCTGGATGGAGTGGCTAACTCAGCTGGCAGCAGTGCATGTGATCACATTCAACAGCGCACATGATTGGAAAGTTTATTCATTTTTGGTCTGATGAGAGGGACCCGTTTGGCAACAGATTTTGAGTGACAGCAGAGGGGGGTTTAATTTTTTTTTCCATCACTGACTAACCCACTTTCTGCGCATGCTTTGAGTCCTGATCGAGGTTTCCCATAAATGTAGTTTATGCCCTGCAGAGAGGGAGAGAGAGATAGAGGGAGAGAGAGAGATAGAGAGCGCGCTCCTCCTCCTCCTCCTCCTTCTCTTCCTCCTCCTCCTCCTCCTCCTCCTCCGTGTCTTTCCACCACTCACCTCGACAAACCAAGGTAAGACGTTTTTCACGACAGAGTCCTGCCATCATTTGTCCCCCCCCCTCGCATAATGGAAACTGAATTGAAACAGCTGTGGTACGTCCGTCTCTGGTACTTTTCCGCTTTCACCTCAGCAGTAGCGTTTTTCTAATTTGGTTCACCTCTTCGCGAAATAACTTCTTTCCTGGTATTTTTTCCCCAGAAGCGCTTTGAGAAATAACCAAACCTACGACTTGTCACTAAACTGCGCTGGAAGAAGGTCGCGTTTTGTGGATGGATCGTTTTGAATCGGTGAGTTATAAACTGTAACCCACGATAACGTTGTTAATACTGGCTGTATTCTATTATCAACCTGTCCGACTAATGCTTTTTTTGCTTGTTTCATGTTGAGCTTTAGCAGCAAATGTGTCATCTAGAAAGAAGGCGCTTTTTCAGAAACGGGATAAACGTAGTTAAATTCAGTCGTGAATTTGATCTGAAGACTCATAAATGCTTTGAGTTCATTTTGACTAATATAAAGATGCCTTTCTAGTTGGGATTCAACAGGTTTTTAATATCTTATATCTCTCTAAAGAAGAATATAGCCTTGTAAATGTGCGTATCTGGTGAGAAAAAAATGATATGCGCTGTTTTGTAATGCAGTTGCTTTGCTTGGCTGCCTTCAGTTGTTAAAGTGTATGATGCAGTGAACTGTGGTCCTGAGAAGGCCGCTTCTTACCCGTAACTCAGTAGAGAGGAGCTGAGAAATACTGTAGAGCCTTAAAGAAGTTAAAGGGAAGATGATGCTTATTGGAAATTGTAGTATGGCCCTGAAATCATATTAAATCTTACTATATCAAATAGAAATACATTTTATATTGTGCACCATAAAGGTTTCTCACCCTCAATGAGATGTTAAACTATAAAGATACTTTTTTGCTGTCTCAGCTATACTCCCTTGTTAGAATATGAGTTGTGTTGTTTTGTCTTCATTGTTACATGATTCCCTTTTGTCAGTGCCTCGCGTTTTCTCCTTTTACCTGCTTCTTTAACATTTTTCCTTTCACACATCATTAACATTAAGATGTCTCAGATTTTCTTCCTGTTTTCCATCTTCTCATTAACTGTTCTCTTCCTCCATGATCAAAACAGTGCTCCTGTGCTTCCTGTCTTACTTTCTGCCTCCTTTCAGATGGTGGATGAGCTGAAGTCAAGCTGGTTGTGAAGGTGCTGGACTTGGTCTCCCCTACGCCCCAAGCCGGACACAACATGGCGGCGGGAGTAGCGGCATGGCTTCCCTTTGCCCGGGCAGCAGCGATTGGCTGGATGCCTGTGGCCAATTTGCCCATGCCAGTGGCGCCCGCTGAGAAGAACAAGAGGCAGGATGAGCTCATCATTCTTAATGTCAGTGGACGACGCTTTCAGACCTGGAGGAACACGCTGGATCGCTATCCAGACACCCTACTGGGCAGCTCAGAGAAAGAGTTCTTCTACAATGAGGAGACCAAAGAGTACTTCTTTGACCGAGACCCTGATGTATTCCGCAGCGTGCTCAACTTCTACCGCACAGGCAAACTCCACTATCCTCGCTATGCGTGCATCTCTTCATATGAGGAGGAGCTGGCTTTCTTTGGTATTATCCCAGAGATCATTGGAGACTGTTGCTATGAAGAGTACAAAGACAGAAAGAGGGAGAATGCAGAACGTCTGATGGATGACCAGGAGGACAACAAGGATGCTAAACTGCCCAACATGACCATCAGGGAGACCATGTGGCGGGCTTTCGAGAACCCCCACACTTCCACTATGGCGCTTGTCTTCTATTACGTCACTGGCTTCTTCATTGCTATCTCTGTCATCACCAACGTGGTGGAGACGGTGCCCTGCGGCTCAGCACCCAATCAGAAGGAAGTGCCATGTGGTGAGCGCTACACAGTGGCCTTTTTCTGCATGGACACAGCCTGCGTAATGATCTTCACTGTGGAGTACCTGATGCGTTTGTTTGCTGCTCCCAGTCGTTACCGCTTCATGAGGTCTGTCATGAGCATCATTGATGTAGTGGCCATCTTACCTTACTACATTGGCCTGGTGATGACTGACAATGAGGACGTGAGTGGCGCTTTTGTGACACTCCGTGTGTTCCGTGTGTTCCGTATCTTTAAGTTCTCCCGTCACTCGCAGGGCCTGCGCATCCTGGGCTACACTCTGAAGAGTTGTGCCTCAGAGCTGGGCTTCCTGCTCTTCTCCCTCACTATGGCCATAATTATCTTTGCGACCGTCATGTTCTATGCAGAGAAGGGTTCAAGCTCCAGCAAATTCACGAGCATCCCAGCTTCCTTCTGGTACACCATCGTTACTATGACAACGCTTGGGTAAGAGCAAAACAGACATCTCTTTTATCTGGTTGCAAATGCTCTGTCTGTGTGTGTGTGTGTGTGATAGAGAGAAAGTCTTTGTGAATATGCAACAGAGTACATGCATATTTTTAGTTGGGCCTGTTATGTGTGAGTCAATGTGTGATTTGACTTTAAACTGCTTCAGAAGTCAGTGCAACCCTCTTCAAGGCACAGAAACTTTACAGATAATGATAAAGCACTACAGAGAAGTGGCAGTTTTCAGTAGCCTGCGTTTTGACTGTGTTCTTCTGGGGGAAGAGCATCCATCAAGATGCCCTCTCTCTCGGTAATGGCTGTTGCATTGCCTGCTCTTTATACATCACTGATAACGGGGACAGAGAAAGAAAGAGACATGGAAGATTGTAGAAGTAGAGAAAATGGTAAAGTTGAAAGCATTTATTGAAACAAGCACAGTGGATAGGAAACAAAGAAAGAGAGATTGTGCCATTATTTCCCTCTCTTGCTTGCCCTGTGGTTAGCATGCATGCTCTTTAAGTTGACAATGAACTGAAACAATGACTCCGCATTTTGAGAGCCCTCCTCCTCCTTCACTCACTCTTTATGAGTTACACTCATCGCTGGCCTTGAAAATTAAGTGCCTCTTGGTAGGAAGGCTCTGATGCAGAATACCAAAATGCTCTCCATTTCAAGAGGAAAGAGAGTGGCTCAGTTAGTAATTTGTGTTTGTGTAACGGAGATAGATACGCTATTTTAAAAGTCTTACATGCTTCCAGTGCTTATAGAATGCCTGATTAACCTGCAGCCCAGTGTGTTGTGTTTTGTTTTTGGTTCCTTTTACAAAGTCACGAATGGCTGTGAGTTTTACAAATGAACAGCAAGATGGAGCATTTTGATGCAATCATCTGTTAGATCTCCCGGTCTGTTTTCCCTCATTTTTTCAGTCATAATATATTCCCATCAGTCATTTTATGGTAGTGAGGGGAACCACACATACATCATTAATTTTACATTGTGCACACATACACACGCAGAGCTCCGTGATGCAGCACTATTAGGCGTAATGGTAATGTGTTTTATGAGCATCCCCTGTTGTGGATCTGTGAGTCAGACTGGGAGGCTGACAAATTGCGGCATCCTTCTAAATGCCAGAGTCATGGAGGCCATAAATGGTTCTGAGCTCATTGCTGTGAGACACTTGGCACCCTGTCATCGTGCCCTGCCATTCACAACCTGCCCAGAAGATTTTGTGTCTACCAGGTGTTTGATTTCTGGACCAATTGTTTGGTCCGTGTGGACAGAATAATAGACATAAACTGGTATTCTCTGCTGTCTGTTAATTCTGTGAATGCAGCAGCAGCTCTCGTCATTCACCACGCTTGCCCATACACTCGCCCAACACCTGTCTCCTCCCACTGGATTGAGACCTGAGACACTAAACCAGTCTCCTGTTGCATTTACAGTAGAATTGCCAAAGAGGAGGGCGTGTGTGCACGTTTGTGTGTTAAGAGGGGAGTTGTTGTTGAGCTTGGCCTCATCAGTAAAGCTTGGGCCTGAAGTGGGTGTCAGAGTGACTAATGATGATAATGACTAATCAGCTGCATCTTCTGACTAATGTAGACCTGCCTGACATTTTGGTCTCTGCTCTGTTTATATCATAAAGACACACAAACTAATCATACACACAGAGGCAATATTTGCACATGCACCTGGCCTTGTATACTGTAAATGCATAAAAATTAATTTTGGTATTTTCATATGCATACTGTACAGAGTTTTGACCTTTTCTGAGGTTCATCCATTTCATACAATGACTGTGATTTCAGATTCACATGAAACATGTTTTTTTTTTTTTTAATGTTTTCCCGCTCTTTCATTTATCTACTAATACTGAAATCTATAGAAATGAATCCTGTCTGTCTGCTGTGCAGCACTTTATGCTCATCTGACAAAGTAAGATCAAACACCGGTCCTACAGACAGTGTTTTCCTCGACTTCTCGTCTGCCTGTCTGTGCCTCAGCTTTTATATTTATGCCACTGAGTGGGTTCTGCTTTGTTCTTCTTGCATTGATACTCTTATTCCTCTGCACTTTTATGTTTAATTTACTACTAAGTGTTGAGCTTTAGCCCCAGTGTTTGTGCTGCACTCAAAGAGATACAGTATTTGTGTTTTCTGTTTTTCTTTCTGTGTATGTATGACGTACGTCAGATGGTGTGTTAACATGATCACACCTGTGTTCATTAGTATCTTGACACGCATGCAGCAAGATTGCTCTGTTTGTACCTCATGTGCTCTCTTTCTCTCTCTTTCTATATACACACACACACACACACACACAGAGTTTTATTGCATGTTATCAAAGTTGAACCCAGTTAAACACAGTAGCAAATCTTTTTTTTTCTAACTCAAAAAGGCCATTTAAGACTCTAAACAAGAGTTGTATATTTACACTTGTTTAATGATTTGCCTCTAGCAGTGAGTCAAGTATATTATGTTTGGAATTACTTCACAGTTTTTCAGCATTGACATTATACTCATTAAAATGCTAATTCAGTCACATAGAAGTGACTCCTCTACCTGTATGTTATCATACATTGTCCCTGACTGCACCACTTGAAAAACAAATTTTGTCTATTAAAAAAGTGGCAGTGGATTATCTAATTGATAGAAGAAAATAAATGGCTCTTTTTTTCTATTTAACTATGAATATTAACTTCTTAAAAGGCCTCTTTGCTAGTTTTCAAATAGGATTTTATCTACTGAAGGCAGATGTGAAGGTCTGCCATGCCCACTGATGGTTTGAATCTCCTCGCTCTGCTGTTAGCCAAATAGAATAGAAAGGGGAGTCCAAGCATCATAGAAACCACTGTTCACCATTTTGTTGTAAGATGATTTACAGAAATGATCAACTGACTCTTAAAATTGTGTTGGTTCTCCTGACAGATATTAAGTTAAGGTAATTTATGTCGATGCCATCAGTGGGTTGGATACGAGCCACAGACCCATTACTGACTGGTTAGGGCAAAAAAATCGGCTCACGTGAACGCAATGTCCCTCATGCGTGGACCAGTCCTATGAATGCATTTGTTCTTGAGTGACATGCATGAGTGATTTTTAAGAGAATGTTTAGCATTCAGTAACTTCTGTCAGGCTTCAGAATCTCCTCTTAAGCATAAATGGAATTCACGAATGGTCCAGGCCTTATGAGCCATGTACAGATAGTTTTACTGGGGGGAAACACAGAATTCTATTGGTTTATTCCAAATGAATGTGTGTGTGTGTGTGTGTGTGTGTAGTAGATGTAAATGGGAGGTGTGTAAACCGTGGGTGCATGTGCCTGCTTGTGTTCACTTGAGCCTACAAATGTGTATATGATCATCTGTGTGTGCCTTTAAAGGTTAGTGTGTTTTCCACCTTTTTTCGCACCTAGTTGTCATCGAGTTCTGATTTATAGATGGCATTTATTTTAGAGACAAAAATATGAGAAAATGATGATGAGTGCAGATGAACAAGTATTGATTTTGTTCAGCAGCGAGAAATGTGGTGGCCATTGTTAGCGCTATTAATCAGAGCAGGCGGTGAGAGTACGACTTGGAGATAGCACCGGAGTGTGATGTCACTGACAGTCTGGGACTCATGAGAGCTGTTAATGAACTAATTTTCCTGTGATGGCGTTTGTTCTTACCACTTTATTTTTTAAGGTCATTATTTGCAGTGCACGATATGCAAGGGGTTTGGAGTGTGAATGATTTATGGCTCTATGTTATATCATGGCTATTACATGAGGTATTACGGAGTATACCAATGTGGGTTCACCTAGTTTAAACTGATTGTATAGTGTAGGTGTGATAGATTTAACTAGCAGATGGCAGCCAGTAACACTACTTTATTAAATAATGTCCTCTCTTTAGTAAATGCAGGACAACAAAATGTTGGGTACTTGCTACTGTACACTAGGAAACTAGCCTACAGCAACAAAACTACCACTTATCACAGTATGTCACACAAGGCATTGAGCAGGTAATCACCGCTAGCACTCCATTTACAGTACATGTGGTATTAACACATTATCTGGATATGGAACAACATAAACAAATAACAGCTGTATAAATGCAAATGTCGTGGGGTCAGAAATCATTGTCCAGATAAAGATCACATGCCTTTGCTCTCAGAAATGCATTTCTGTGTTTCATCTGCACCCAGTGTTCTACTGCAGTGTGTTACCGACTGTCAGATGAACTATATATTCTATGGCCTAAATAAAAATAGAACACAGTACCATCAGTGGACAGAAAGTCATGGGTCAAAGATTTCACTTCCTGATAATATTCCTCAGAGGTTTTATCTGTGGTTTGTAGGTTTGCACAGTCATGCTTTTTCACTTGTGTGTGTGTGTGTGTGTGTGTGTGTGTTTGTTTTTTCCCCAACATCAAACAATGGAAAAAAAAAAAGTAGAACAGGAATTTGGTAGAAATCCTGCAACCCTTACATAATAATCAACAGACTGGAAAGGATTAGTAACTTCATTTTATCAAGGCTTGGCATGAATTGTGCAATTACCTCTTACCTATACAGTTGTACAGGTGAAACCCAACATCACAGTATATCAATTTGCCCTCTCTCTTACTGGCTGAAGTGTGAAACCAGACTCGGTGTGAGTGTAGTGAAAGCCATCAGTAATTTTTACAGTTTCCATAGGCTGTGAAATGTTTTTTTTTTTTTTTTCTGTACAACATTGGCCCTCAGGTGAACACGCGTAAAAAGCCATTATGATGGAGATACTAACACACACAGATGCATTAAAGTGTGTATCAGAACAAGTGAATCTCCATTTTGACCTCCCAGCTGTTTTTCCCAGTCTGCCTTCCAGAGTAAAGAGGCATAAGGAGATGTTGAGCCCTATGCTCCTGCCCCTTTCCCAGGTGCTGCAGAAAAGAGATAAAAACTAAATGTCAGTCCATTTGACCCCCCTTACACCTTAGTGTCATCCTCTCTTGGTCTGTGTCTTTGTTGTGT